TTTTTTTTTTTTTTCATTAATTTCAACGTACAATATTAAAGGTAAATTTAAAAGTGACAACCTGTCATTTGAAAAAAAAAATCCAATCTTAAATAAGGAAAGGGCTTTCCATCAAAGGCTTTGTAGACAATTCGTCTACAGGTCCAAAGTCCTGATGCAAAAACTCACCTCGGGTTAGAAACAGAGAGGATCGCGTGAAATCGCTCAAAGTCCGGGAAAAAAAAAATCTCCCACCTGTGGCTGCCCATACCTCGCTTCGAGCGGTCCAAGCACGTATCCAGTTTCCTCTTTGCGACAACTCGAAAGATAATATAAAAGTATTTTTCTCACCATCACCTTCTTCCACGCGCCGCACAGCTATCTGCTCCGCCGGCTGTAGTCGCGAGCACGGCGGCTGCCGTCGACCGAATAGCTGCAGATGCAGGGTCGGCTACACGGGGCCAAACTGCACCGAGTGCGTTCCCTACCCGGGCTGCGCTAACGGCAGCTGCAGGAAGCCCTGGGAGTGTCGGTGCAAGCCCGGCTGGACCGGGGAGCTCTGCGACGAGCGGCTCACCTACTGCGACGATCATCCCGGCATCTGTCTCAACAACGCCACGTGCATCAGCATGACACCCGATGATGCCGACTACAGGTGAGAGCCCCTTCTTCTTCTGTCCTCCTTTGGATCAAATTTTTTTTTTTTTTTTTTTTACATTATACCCTATACTACGTGCGTGCAGAGTTACGGCTAACTGCTGCCACGGCACGTGTCGAGGAGCCTTTAGCGGCTACGGTTTGCTCACTTTGTACCCAACTATATTGTTACCTAAAAAATTTTACGCCTTCATGGGTGAAGATCCTGTTTTAATTTTCAATTTTACAAATAAATGATACCGCCATTGATGGTGGGAGAATATATCACCCCTCTTATTTATGGCTCAAAGTAGGATCTGTTCTCGGTGATTTCGACGATACTGTACGTTATTGACCAATACAAAACTTTCTTTGCGAGGAAACAAATTATTTAATCATGAGAAAGAAGGACAAAATGAACAAAGTGAGGTCGTATCTTTTTCACGATTAGCCACTCGAAGCTTTACTTAAAACTCCATTATTTCTGAAACGTCACTTGAAAATTTGTTCGTTAATGTGATATTCTGTGAAAATCCAGGTGCGTCTGTCCTCTGGGCTTCTACGGTCGACAGTGTGAGAAGAAAACCGAATTCCCGGCTACCGATCTGGTGCCACCAACGCCCGTGGATCAACCCTGGGGTAGCAGCATGAGCTCACCCTCGTTGACGACACCGTCATCATCGTCGAGCAATGTAATGGCAGATGTGACGACCGAAGAGACAATAGAACCACTTGGGCCAATTGTCATTACCGATCCACCGAGCACGGTGGCAGAAGCTTCGCATACCGCGGGAAAGTGGCCTCCGGAACCACCTACGGAGTCACCACCTCAACACTTGGATGCTGAGAATGAGACGTAGACTAGTTGCTTTTTTTATGCTTGCGAGATGTGATTGGATGTCTTTTTTTTAATAGACACCTTCTTGTCTGTTTTAACCTTATTGTTTTTTTAATTTAATTTATTTATTTATCGATTTTATTTATTTATTTATTTTACTCGTAATGTGATCATCGAGTAGTTTTGTGATTGATAGTGAGGAATAAAATTTTGATACAACATCTCGTTATATTTATTATTACTTTATTATTCTAATTACAAGATAAACATTATTCCATTAAAAAATTCATATCTTAAAAAATTTATTGTCACGTAATTAAGGCCTTTTTTGCACTTTATGATTGTTTAGAACAATTCACTTGGTTTGTATTGTACAATTTAAAGAAAAATCAATTTGTATGTCAGAATAAAAAACAGTTTCTAATGTTAAAATAACATGAAGTGATACCTTTTACAAGAAAACAATTTGACAAATAATTTTGTTTGATTAAAATTGATACAAAATTTAAT